ATAATATGAGTGTTGACTCTGTGTGAGATGTGAACCAGTGACCTGTTATAGGATGGCTAGTTACATGACCTTATTTCTTGGCCAGGTATGATTTCTTGTGAGATATAGGCCAGTTGTATTTCTTTTCATACATAGATTAGGGTTAATATTTAATTATCTACAATTTGAGATATATGGTATATACATGAGGGTTTCCTTGTTTGGATTATTAATATTTAATTATCTACAATTTGAGATATATGGTATATACATGAGGGTTTCCTTGTTTGGATTATTTCGCTCGACGTACTACGTCTCTTGTTGTAAATTTTTAAGTATTAATTCCATCTAGTGTATGACCTTGTTACTTGGATGATTTATTCCGATTGCTAGCTGCATGACCTCGTCACCGATTGATTTTTTGGATTCTTTGATTATTATATACTATTGGTGGATTTCATCTAGTTTTTAGTATTCCAGTTACATGCTTCTATTTATTATTACTGTTTTTGACTTGGTCATTCGGCCGTTTTATTTCTCCCATGTGGGATCTTACCGTGTGTCATGCACGCTGACGTACACCTATTTTCTTTGGTGTACGTCAGATTTAGGAGACGGACAACCTCAATTCGGAATCGTACAGAAGTTAGAGGATTCTTAGCAGGAGTGCCTTGCAGACAGAGTAGAAGAACAAGATGAAGCATAGTGGTTTTCTTCCGTAGTAGTTGTAGGACATTAGAACTCTTTAGCATATTTTTTCCTTAGTTTAATAATGGATTTTCATATTTTAAGTAGTACTTTTTTTTATTATGAACTATGTATTTTTATTCCTAGTTTGACCGTTTTTATAATAAGGATATGTTGACCCATATTTTTATGTCTAGGATGATCTACTTTTGATGATATGTCTATTTCTTATTCTGGGTTGTTATTATATTCTTGCTATTGTGATCGGGAACTTGTGACTGATATTCTTGGGTTTGACGCTTAGCGTATTGGATTGAGAAGAAAAAAAAAAGAAAAAAATTAGTGTATATTTCTTTTCAATCTAATACGCCGCGAACTTGTTCACGTTCCGATTCCCGGGTATTTTGGGAAGCAGGATGTGACAGGTATCAATCAAGCCACTATAGAGATTCATACATACAATGTTTTCATCATGTTGTAGATAGTCGTTACTGGCTACCAAAAGCCACTATAGAGATTCATACATACAATGTTTTCATCATGTTGTAGATAGTCGTTACTGGCTACCTTATAACAGGCCGCATGTGTTACCTCCTGAATATAAGAGATAAGTCGGATGCCCGAGATCAACACGCATAAAAGGTACGGTGTATGAACGTCCGGAAGGAACTCCCAAAAAAATAGGTGTGGATATTGCAGACAATAGGGCCAAGGAGATCTCATTGTCCTACCAATCCAAATAAATAACAATTAATGGGTACACTTTATTTAATTTTTAATTTTATTTCACTTCATTTATAAGTCAATGATTATATACTAAATATGTACTTTTATTCTACTTTTATTTTTGCATACGTCATAGCACTGACGCATTTATATCATCATATGTGCAGATATGGAGGCGGGTCCATTGAAGTATGAGGTCCTTTATGACCAAGATCGACATTGATCCGCGAAGATAGACTCTGGGGAGGTAAATCACATTGGTAGTTGTAAATTACATTTTCAACCACATCAATTATTGTAAGTTACTGATCGTTACTGAACATTTGCACTATTTAATATATGCAGGCCCCAAGTATTACTATCGTTGATCATACTCGTGCACATTCGAGCTGGGACTTGACTAACCCACGGGTCCAATTTTATGTTCGTCGGGCAGGCTTCTTTGAGTGCTTACAAATTAAATGGGTGAGACTTGATTGGGCTCTCTTGACAGCACAGATTGAACGATGGAGGCCGGAGACAAATACACCCCAGCTGCGTCAAGGAGAGTGGACGATTACATTGCAAGATGTTGGGGTTTTGCTTGGCCTCAAAGTGGATGGAGATGATATCACAGGTACCGATGACTTTAACTGGGTAGGGAAGTGTGAAGCATCGTTAGGGTCAAGCTCCTACTATGAATGGTGGTAAGATCAAGCTCGAATGGTTAAAAAACAATTATATGAATGTATCAATCGATGCGACCGAGGAGATCATAAGGAGCTACGCCGGTGCATATGTACTTCATATGATCGGTACTATTCTATTTCCGGATTCCACTAAGGATTTGGTGCACATGAGATGGTTGTCACTCCTGGAGGATCTTGAGGAGTGTGGAGGGTTATCATGGGGGAGTGCCATGTTAGCTTATTTGTATAAGGAGATGACCAAAGTGGCACTCGTGCAAAACAAAGAGTTCAAGGGTTGCTTCACTTTGCTGCAGATATGGTCATGGGAAAGATTACATTTGGGATGCCTAGATTTGAGGGAGACTCGTGCTCTCGATGGACATATTCCATTAGGATGCAGGTACTACTAAGTTATTTTGTAATAGGTATGATTACATGTACTTTTATACATTTATTTCAATCTATACTAACCCATTGTATATAAAATAGATGGAACGTGTCCAGATCTTGGCATACCTCACCAAAGGGCCATGAAAATTTCTACAGGAACGAGCTTGATCAAATGGAGGATGAACATGTATAAATCATAATATTTAAATATATTAAATCAATACATTATTTATTACTAATATATAAATATATCCAATCAATACATCATATAGGTCAAGTGGATGCCCTATGAATTAGCTTTGGAGTCACTACCAAATATTTGCAGGGAATGTTAGGATGTATTGCGTGCTCGCGTCCCGACCATATGTTTTGAAATTGTCGAGATGCACGTGCCCGACCGTGTGCTCCGACAATTTGGGCTACAACAACATGCTCTGGACCCTATGGATAGAATAGAGCGAAATCCCAGAAAAGATGCACATCATGCAAATTGGGAGTTCATTCGCCATGCTTACATCCAGAGGTGGGAGTTGAGGGAGGAACAGGTAGTGATGGAGAGGGCTGACGCACCTGACCTAGGTGTGTACTTGCGGTGGTATTGGGGGATTACTCACCGATGGATATTTCAGGAGAACAAAGCCCCTAAGAAGTACATACCAAGAGACCCAGTTGAGAAAGAGTTGGTAAGTTTATAGGCAAAATATACAATTATTTTGTGAGATTTATTTTATTATCATCCACTTGATAATAATTTTCTTTTATCTTATAGGTACAAGAGCTCGAAGAGCTTTCTACTATGGCACATAGGGGTGCCAAACGGTTCGGATATATCCGAACCGATCCGCATCCGTATCCGAACGGATGCGGATATGGGTCCCAAATTTATAATTACAAACCCGCAAACCCAAAACCAAAACCAAAAGTAAAAATGAAAAAAAACCCTAGGCTGTGAATCACATGATTCACATTCCGCCTCCAGTGCTCACCCTATCCACTCTCCATCTCCACGATTCTCTCTCCAGCCCTCACCCTCAGGCCGCCTCAGGGTGAAATTGAGGCCGCCTCCAGCCCTTAACCTCAGGCCGCCTCACTCAATTTCAGTCAGCCTCCGTCCTCTCCTCAATTTCAGCCTCCGCCCTCTCCCCATTTTCCGCCGCCTTCGTCCACTCCCAACTCGCCGCCGGATCCAGCCACTCGCGTCCCGCCGCCTGCGTCCATAATGAGATTACTGAATCATTCATGCAATATTGTGAGAATATTAACTCATGCCACTATAAAATCCCCCACTCTTTAGTCTTTCCCCATTTATTTTGGCCAAAAGGTGAGAAGCCCAGACTCTCCTTCGTTAATAAGAGAGATTAATAAATCAAAAAGCCATATCCAAATACAAGATATGTAACTCGAATAGTCTTTTTTACTCTAATTTCATTCTCAATTAAGTTTCCTTCTCGGCGAAAACTGCACCTAAAGATCTCACAAGCATGTAAACCACCTTACCAGCCGTGAGCTTACCCTTACTGATGAATCCCTTGGCATCTCATATACTTCTCCGATTAATATTTCAGGTAATATTTCAATATCAACTTATGTGGTATATTTTCTTTAGACTTGCTTTTATCCCTAATGACATAAAACACGTTTTTATGTACATTTGTATGGTCATATGCCAGTTTTTGTTACCTTGATTATGCTGTGACACAAGTTCATGAATGTGTCTAAGAGCACATCTCAGTGCCAAATTGTCTATATTTAGAAGCTTTGTCTTTTTAAATATATGGGATGACGTTTGTTTCTTCTGTTTAGCTTTAGTTTAACATTAAAACTGGGAACTGAGGAACAAAATTTTGGGTTATAATTTGTTCTAGCCTTAACTACGTACTTATGTTAATTAGTATTATTATTCCATAATGAGATTACCGAATCATTTATGTAATATTGTAAGAATATTAACTCATGCCACTATAAAAATCCCCATATCCAAACACAAGATATGTAACTAGAATAGTTTTTTTTACACTAATTGCATTCTCAAGTTTCCTTCTTAGATGAAGATTATATGTCTAATAGATTTATGTGGAATATCCGTTTATATCCGTGATCATATCCGATCCGATTCTCAAATATCCGAACCGTATCCGTTTCCGATAAGTACGGATATGGTTAATGTTTTTTCTTACCGAAGGTGATCCGTATCCGTATCCGTATCTGTTTATAAAAAGCGGATATGGATATGGTAAGTGTCATATCCGAACCGTATCCGCTCCGATAACACCCCTAATGGCACATGATGCATTATGAACAACTACTGAGCCAGAGTCGAGAAACACGTTCCTTCGCATGATAAAAAAATATTCGGTTCGCTCTTCGGAGGACATGTAATGCAAGACGTGATGGACCTATGTGTAAAAAGAGCAAGTTGATGATACAGATTTTCGAACAGTTGATAATAATTATATATATAGCTTACCTCCTCTTATATATATACAAGTAAATTACAATCGTTCTTCAAAGATGTCATTGTACATATCTACGTATGACAAGTATACTGCATTCAACAGAAATTTACCTCCTCTTATATATATACAAGTAAATTACAATCGTTCTTCAAAGATGTCATCGTACATATCTACATATGACAAGTATACTGCATTCAACAGAAATTTACCTCCTCTTCGATAATCTGACCGGCTTCAAGTGACTTCAACATCCAGAATTTATGGAGACATTGAGAAATGAGTACCACTGAGGATTCAGGTGAATTCCTCACACATAAAGTTGCGATAACTATAGGGAACTGATATAAAGGAACTTATAAAGCGTTCAATTATGCCATTAAACTAATTTTTTGTTGCCAACGCCTTCCAATGAACACTGTAAGAATATTTTACAGTAGATACAAGATACAAGTAACTTACTATCTACCTTCAAAGCTGTTATTGTACATGTCTATATATGACAAGTATATTATTGTGTCCAACTGAACTTTACCTTCTCTTTTTAATTGATTCTCTGGCAGGCTTGCAATGCTTCAACACCCATAATCTATGGAATCATTGAGAATGACTATAATAGGGGATTCATGTGATTTCCTCGTACCTTACATAATTAAATAAAGTTGCCATAATTAGGCTTCCTCCAACGAAACCCTATGGTAGTCCACTGATTGATTCGAAGTTGCTGGATTCGCATGGTACTGCCCATAGATGGCATAAACTGCAATTGAGATGAAGCTGATGATGACAAATCTATACCATGCTTCTTCATGTAGCTGCAAGAGCATTAACGGGAGTAATAATGAACTGAGCTCTTCTATTGCAAAAGGGAGTAATAATGAAGCATATTTATTGACTATTTGCTGTAAATAAATATGGTTTTGTTCGCGACATTAAGACCTTAATCTAATTAGAATTTAAGATCCACCAAATAACAAAATCCACATCAGAACCATAAAATCGAAAATTAGATGGTAGATCTGAATCCTGATGTCTAACCCCGATTAAGAAGGCAAGGTCTAGATCCTGAATCAGAAGATCCAGGCAACATTGAGATGTCATTCATTCCCATCCAAACCTATACACAGGCTTAAAAAGAAACAAACAAAGAAAAGAAAGTAGCAAAAGGAAAATGGCTAAAATACCAAACTGGTATATTTATACGAACGTGTTTGCCAGTTTGGTATTTTTAAAAACTCAGCGACAATAAGGCATTAAAGCTCGTTCTTTTTGTCAATAAGACACTTTTCTCAAAATTCCGGCAAGAAAATTTGTTTTAACCCCCTACCTCCCAAAATTATTAAATATATGCCCAAATTATCAAAAATAAAATAAAAAATTCGTCCCTCCTCGTCCTCCTCCTCGTCCTCCTCCTCCTCTCCCATTCCCCTCTCCTCCCCTCCTCCGCCTCCCCTTCCCCCTCCAACTCCATCCCTCTTCCATACGCTAAAACATAGCACCCCCTACCTCCCAAAATTATTAAATATATGCCCAAATTATCAAAAAAAAAAATCATCCCTCCTCCTCCTCCTCCTCCTCCTCCTCCTCTCCCATTCCCCTCTCCTCCCCTCCTCCGCCTCCCCTTCCCCTTCCAACTCCATCCCTCTTCCATACGCTAAAACATAGCATCCCAACACAACATAGGAATCTAAAGGTTTTCAAAACACATTTCTCTTCCATAGGCACACACATAATAATAAACTACAAAATCAACAGATCAACTAGTCGACAAAATCGACTTATCACCACAAATACAAACATGCTTCATGACTTCAGTTTCTCTGCCTTCTAATCCTGTGCTTGACGCCATGAGAAAAATTCATGGGCCTTGTAGTATCGATCCAGGATTACATTGTATAGAGGGTGAATGGGCTCGAGCAGGTTAGAGTAAGGGCCTAGGACAGCTTTAGGCAATAAGGAGGAGGGGAGGGTGGGGAGAGGGATGGAGTTGGAGGGGGAAGGGGAGGCGGAGGAGGGGAGGAGAGGAGAATGGGAGAGGAGGAGGAGGACGTCAACGACGACGACGTCGAGGAGGAGGAGGGGGAGAGGGAGGGGATGAATATTCTTTTTGATAATTTTGGGCATATATTTAATAATTTTGGGAGGTAGGGGGTTAAAACAAATTTTCTTGCCAGAATTTTGAGAAAAGGGTCTTATTGACAAAAAAGGACGAGCTTTAATGCCTTGTTGTCACCTGAGTTTTTAAAAATACCAAACTGGCAAACGCATTCGTATAAATATACTAATTTGGTATTTTAGCCAAAGGAAAATATAACAGAAAGGCTATTTAAGGCCACTTATACTGAACTTATTCCTTCGTATTTGCGAGTCCACACTCAATTTGTTTAGAACCCTTAAATGAATAGATGGAACGAAGAGGCACTTACTCAGGAAACATAATCTGCTGAAGTTCATTTACATACATGAGGTAATATCGCATGTTTCCTTTTGTCAGTGGGTATCATTATGTGCCAGATAAAAACCATTGCAGACCAAAATTTGGGCATATATTAAAGCAGGTGCATTCTCTAATAGTGTGCAATTCCTTACTCAGAAGGGAGACCTCGGTGCTAGAAGGGTTTTTTTTTAAATCACAATATATCAATTTCTCCAACCAGAGTGAGAGAAGGATACTTGCTATGAGCTTAAATTTGTTCTAATCATGCAGGTATTCATGTCAGACAACACTTTAGAACCCTTAAATGTTTGAATATGATCCTAATTAGCTATTCAATCACTAGCTACAATTTTTCTGAGAGTAATTATGGTTAATTCTGATAAGCACAACTACAGAAAACAAGAAAGCGTAAGAAATTACCTGTGCAAATAAGAAGATATTAAAAAAGATGGAGGCAACTGGCACAGTAGGGACTCCAGGACATGAAAAACCAGGGGGGTCCATATAAACCTATTAATTTGAAGAGATAAGAAGAGAATTAAATTTTTAAAGAAAATCACAAAATATTCAAATCTTAAGTCGTTGTAACAATAACAGATAGTGCAGGAAGTTGAAGAGACTTTCTTTATTGAATAACAGGTGAAAGCAGAAAGTTGAAGTAACAAGTGAAAAAGAAATGTCATATTTCTTGAAGTGCTTCATAAGCAGATAATGTATGTTAAAACTCAAGATAGGTATTAAATATAGAAGGTCAAAAAAGAATTTTCCTGGTATTATTGATGTTAATCATGTAAATCAAAACTTGTGCGTGTACGTTATAGCTATTTGGAGGATTTTTTTTCTTTTTCTTCTTTTTTTTGGGGACTCACATCTTTTTAAAGAATCAAATGAATAAAGCTTGTTATCTTGAGAGTTTTCTAACAAGAAAAAAAGACACATTTTGCGCATAAACGTTTCTACATATTGGGTGACAACATCTATTTCTTAAATCAGGATAGCTATCAAGCTCTCCAAATATAATAATTTAGAGATGAACTTTTCAGGTTAAGATTTCTATTGGCTTTTTAGTTGAGGGGATTATACAAATGAGATAACAGGATCACCGATTTGTTTTGCTAATTGAAAAATGCAATGCAAAATATCAAATATCAAATTTAGGAAACGAGAAGTATCTTCATAAACAAAAAGAGAAATAGCTCAAAAAAGGGGGTCAACCAAAAGATGGAGACTTGAAACTCACCTGCCGAAAATGAAGTGCAGCTGCAGCAAGAAATGCTACAAATATGAAAAGCAGCAACAAGATAAATGAGGCATCAAAGCGATAGCAGAGGCCAGCTGAAAAGCCACAACAGGCAACTATAAGAAGACAGATGGTGCCTTCAAGCCAGTTTGAAATGCACCTCCCACAAACTTGGCTCGCAGGCTTATCTTTCCAGCGGAGAGTTATCAAACAAGCGGATACTACAGAATAGCCAGTCTGCATGAACAAAAAACATGTACATCATTTGTCTGTTATAACTACAAAGCAGCAATCACATGATTATCACTGTAAGCTAAGATAAAATTGTAAATACTTCTGGTTTTACTCAGAACAAGTGAATGACATTGTACCAGGGTCCCAACTGAAAGAATGTGAGAGAGCATGTGCACATTAAAGAGACCACCCAAGACAGCAGCAACACAACCAACCCAGATCTGCGAATGGATGGGAGTGTGCCTAGTCAGATGCACTTTGGAGAAAATTAAAGGTAGCAAACCATCCCTTGCAAGTCCAAGATACAAACGAGACTGCATATTATAAAACATAAACTCAGCCATATTTCCCGCATATATACATTCATATTCACAAGCAAACAGGAGCATGATCACTAGCTGAGAAATTCAAAATCTCACCTGAACATACAGGCCAACAAGCAATGTTGTAGTCAGACCTGCAACTGCGCCGATGCTAATTAAAACAGACACATACTTCAATCCTTTACCAGTAAAAGCTTCAGCAAGAGGAGCTTCTTCACCAAGAGATTGATACGGAACCATCCCAGTTATGACCAAGCAGACGGCAACATATAGCAGTATACATACAACAAGGCTCCCAAGTATGCCAATGGGCAAGTCTCTCTAAAATTTTGAAAGAGGGAAGAAAGGTGGTTAGGGAAAAAAAATTTAGAGTTGCAGCTCATAGAGTGAAAGAAGGGAGAAAAAATGACCTTGTGAACAAAGAAACTACACATTGGACCATCATGATAATGTTCTAATCTACCAAAATAAGTGATCACTCCCCCAATCCACCTTGATATAAATTACCTGTGGTCTTTTTGACTCCTCAGCAGAATTTGCAACTGCATCAAACCCGACATATGCAAAAAATACTACCGTTGCTCCGGTAACAACAGCTTTAATACCATTAGGAGCAAAAGGTGACCAATTTGATACATCAACCTCAAAGGCACCAACCAGAACAACAAATACGACAATGAGCACCTGTAATTATTTGATATAACATTAGTTGCTCTGTTCCAGTGATACTTCTTTCTTCAGCAAACAGTTACCATCTAAACCTAAGAACAAAATGAAGAAATAGTCTTAGATATGTATATATTAATGCTCAATAATCTCAAAAGTGGTGAAAAGGATTGCGAATTTGTGACAATCATTAAAAAATATATTGCACATTGATAAAAGAGCATTCATGCATATAACTTTATATATATATATACTATATATATATATATATATATATATATTAGGAGAAGTGTTTCTAAGATGACGCCTTTGATAATCATCTTAGGACGCGGCCTAAAATCACATGATTGAGCTACATTGTGGATGATCTGTTCCCTTGAACTTGATCTACATATTCTAAAACCCAACACACCAAGTTTGGGGTGACCCGTCGCCGCTTGACCCTTCATCCACTCATATCAATTTTAACGGTTTTCGAACGAATAGAACTTTTCACATGGCTCGACGGAGGGTCAAACGACGATGGGTTCACCCGAACTTGGTGTGTTGAGGTTTTAAAATATGTAGATCAAGTTCAATGGAGCGGATCATCCACAATGTAGCTCAATCATGTGATTTTTAGGCCGCGTCCTTAGATGATTATCTAAGACGTCAGCTTAGGAACATTTCCATATATTATATATATATATATATATACTATATATATATATTATATATATATATATATATATGGAAAAATGTTTTCCTAAGCGTGACACCTTAGATTCCCACCTAAGAACGCGGTCTAAAATCACATCATTCCCTAATTTTTTTGCGATCCGCTCCGTTGAACTTGATCTACACGTTCTTAAACCCAAACACACCAATTTTGGGGTGAACCCGTCGTGTTTTGACCCTTCATCCACTCACCGTAATTTTAACGGTTTCGAATAAATAGAACTTTTTGCACGGCTCAACGAATGGTCAAAACACGACGGGTTCACCCCAAAATTGATGTGTTTGGGTTTAAGAATGTGTAGATCAGGTTCAACGGAGCGGATCGCAAAAAAAAATTAGGGAATGATGTGATTTTAGACCGCTTCCTTAGGTGGGAATCTAAGGTGTCACCTTAGGAAAACATTACCCTATATATAACAAGCTATGATGCCCTCCTCCCAACAACGGAGCCCTCCTCCCAACCAGTCTCCATTTCTATGTAGGAACACATGTTAGACAGAAAAAGCCCTGTCATGTAAACAAACCAGAGGGAACAAGACATGGACGCGGCTTGGGCACTGCCAGACACAAATGTCCAGATGGAGGTAGGTTTGAGAGAGAAAGAGAGAGATAGGAGAAGGAGAACAACCTGCATATCTTTCCATTGTTGGAAGCAGGTTCATCACCAAGAATGCTGTCAGCATCATTGAAGTTACACTCTTGCTCTTTGTGAAGATTTACTAGTGACCGATCTAAATCATAAATAGAGTTTCCAGAGAGGGGAAGGGACACGAAAGAGAAATTGGTTTCAGATTCTGAAGCACGATAAAAATTATTCAGTTGTAAGAGAATATGGGCTGCGGTTGTTAGTTTGGAGGGCTTACAACTGGAGAGGAAGGTTGGGTTTTGTGTGGATTTGGGTTTGGCTCAATGCCACGGAAAGAAAGGTAGTGATTAGGCCAATCTGAATCACAAATTCACAATGAATATGAAATAGAACTAAAACTGACTTATAACTCAATCCTTATGCATTTATCTAATTCAAACTTCTTGGATATTCATCAAATTGCAAAACCTCTTGGGCAGTCCTTTAGGCTAGTTTAATTTTTAAAAGTTGTAAGTAAAACTCTTACAGATTGTTCAAATTTTTTTGAGGAATTCTTCTTTTTTTTTAAACAAATGTTTGCTCAAGTGATGTTAATAAATAAATAAAGTATTGGTGTGTCCCAATATCATACCTTTCTATAAATTTCCATGTTTCCATGTCTGCTTCATGTTGTCTGTCTCCTGTGTCTTTGTTTATGCCATATATAGGTCGCAGGTGACTTAGGAAGTGATAAAATTCCTAAACAAAGTGAGTGTGGCGAATTGAAATCATCTCCAATCATCCATTTTTACTACTTGTTATTTTAAACAACCTGGTGCAGTTGCTGCCTCTCACAATCCCTGTTTTTACTCCTTGTTCTAAATGCAGATAGATAAAGACACTCTTAGTCAATTTATAATATCACATTTTTGTATCTTAACACGTTCCTTACAATTTACTATCTTTTATTTATGTTTGTCTAGATTTTTTTTTTTTTTTTTGAAAAAGATTATAAATGTTTGTCTTTATTCTTTAAAGTATAGGCCTTCTTATTCATATAGGTCAAGCATTTCACAAATGTGTGTGCTTTTATAAGCAGTGGAATCATTTCAGTTTGTAATTTGGAATAACATTAACTAGCACCCCAAGACCTAAAAGTTCATTCAAAGTGTATATAAAATCCCTCTGGTTTACTCTATGTGATTGATAACTGCAGAAAACTTTTCACATACATATATAGGGAAATCATGTTAACTAAATAATAATGCTAAGCCTCTAAATGGATCATATACTAGAGATTAAAAAATGGCCCACACAACAACTATTACCTTTGTTGCAGTCATAAATGAATTCACTGCAGATGATTCTTTAACACCATAACATAGAATTACTGTCAAAAGAGTTAGAAGAATTGGAACTAGTATGTTGATGGACACAACTCCTCCAAAGAACTCTTCACCTCCATGGCCAAACCAGCTAGGGAAGTGTCCTTTTAAGAAAGGAAAGAGCTCTAAAAACGATACAAGGTAGCTAGCTAAGCTGCGTGCAATACTCGCTGCCCCTATGTGGTAATCCAGCATTAGCTGGGCAAAGACAAGAAAGGCCGTAAGCTCATTAAAAGCAGTATATGTATACAAGTAAGCGCCACCAACAACAGGAGGGAAACGTGATGATAGCTCGGCATAGCAAAGAGCATTGAGTACACATGCAGCTCCAGCAAGAACAAAACTAATTGTAACACCTGTAACCGAGGAGATGATGCATAAGGGAAATATATAGACATGTAAGCAAATGAAAAATCAAGTTAAAGATGATAATTAAAGATATGTTATCACCCTCCTGATCAAACTGAAACAATTCATGTACCAAACCTTTTCATTTCGATGAAAAAGTGTATGTCAATGAATAGTTACAAGTTACGGGGAACCTCCTGTTAAATATCTAGGTTTTGATAAGTGTTATGCATCTGGAATGTGCTTAAGAGTTACCCTGACATTTCATTTAGGCTCCTGTACCCGTGTTGGACACATGTCCGACCCCGATACTCCTTGGACACTTCTTGAGATGCATTCATCTATTCAAACGTGTACTCAATAATATAATACATGTTTTAGATTGAAACAATAATCATACATTTCTTGGACATATATAATACACTTCATATCCACTTTCACGTCTACTTTGCACAACTCGTTGGACAGGGTCGAATTGGCTTCAGCCCATATACAATTCAGAAGTAAGATTTTAAGGGATCGTTTAGGTATTTATTTCAAAAACGAACGGTATGCCACTTTATACTCTACTTAGTAAAAGAAGCATAATACATTAAAATGTTATAGGAAATATAGTGTTCATAACATGTGAATGAAAGAACAAAACCGATCTCACATAAATTATTTATTTCATTATGTGCCTATATAGTTGTATCCCCGTACTCTACCCTTTACCAGTCATTATGTGCCTATATAGTTGTATCCCCGTACTCTACCCTTTACCAGTCCACTATGTCCCATACCTGCACCTGCACCCGCACCCTTGTAACATATGTGCTTACACTTGTACGTTTTTTTACTGCCATTTTTTGCACAGAAGTAAATACAGTTTACTGTAGCAAAGAGATATTAGCTTCACTCCCGTCTACAAAGCTTTACAATGTAGTAAGATTTTTTTGGAATGTAGGAATTTTGTTCCAACCCTAGAGAATTTCAAGATTTACATTGCTGTCCAACAAATTTTCCCATCTAACGCCCATTAATGCTACATAACCTTTAATGACTATCGTGGATTTGTATTATATTCAAGGCTGGGACCCAGAACAAGAATTAATTTTTATTTGCCTCACATGCCACAACTTCTATAGCTTATTTGGAGGCACATGAAACTGAAAATTGTGGTTCTTGTGTCATAGAATCAATAGTTAGATAAATACCCAAAATTTAACTATTTGATCAAAGTCAACCAGTCTCACCATTTGTATGACTATAGATTCCTTCATATGTTTCAATTGAACAGATTTTCCTTCTAAGTGGCTAAAATGAAATGTGCATCGAGTTATACTGCCTGTTATCCCAAATAGTTTCTTGTACCTTAAGAGTAAAGAAACAGAATGGCCCTGTCAAAGGAAATTGTCAAAAGGCTCCTAATAACAATTTCCATGTACGACATTAAATTTTGAGACTGTAACAAATTGCTGTTTCAAGAAGCCTATCCCTGAAAGTAGATCATTTGTAAGTTAGAGAATGCTAAAACTAAATGTGTATTTAGCACGTAATATTTCGTAAATGAAAATATTATATATATATATATATATATATATACTGATATATAAGTATATTTTATAATATATAGTATATATATATATATAATTATATTATAGATGAGAGAGAGAGAGAGAGGAATATGGTATGCTTGTACCAAGCACAAAATTTATGCTGGTAGTGAGGTGTCATATTATTATCCACTCATTCAATGGGGGGACACATTCACATGGGTTGAATGTGGTCCCCCAATTGAATGATGTGATGAGAATGAGACACCTCACTACCAAGCACAAAATTTGTGGCTTAGTACAGTATACCCATTTTTCTCATATTATATATATATATATATAATGTGTATTTAGCACGTAATATTTCGTAAATGAAAAGCTTATATATATATATATATATATATATATATATTATATATATACATACATACATACATATATGTATATATATGTCAGTTATCAAACAGGGGTTTGTGTGAGCATTATGAAAGTGTTAGGTCCTCAAAGTCCTTCAGATAGGCACGTTCTGGGGTTACTATTCTTCCCTACACATAAAGAGCTCGTAAGAGGGCGAAGTTGGGATCCCCAGTTGTTCATCTTCTCCAATGATCAAGTTAGTAATTGATCTTGAGTGGGAAATATAGAGATAGGGCAATTCAAAGTTGCATGAAAAAACTAGAGAGCTTACCACATGCAATGCCGCTCTCTTTTATAGTGGATTAGAAGGGTAAATAGGTAACTTGGGCCAAGTCCAACTAGGTTGCTAAGTCGGCAATCATCTTCTAGGTGTTGGCCACGGAAGAGGGTGAGTCATCTGGTCATTTAATGAGGAATGACAACAGGTGCTTGGCACTGACTGGGTACGATGAGTCATAAAGACTATAAGGGCTAGAGTAATAATGATTTGTCACTGCAGTTAATGAAAGGGCAGTCAGCTAGCGAGGGTTTCGAGATAACTACAGTTTCTCTATTTGTTTGGTCAAGGGCCGACTAGCACCGCCTTTTGACTCGTCTACGCGAGTTGTCGGCTGAACAGTAAGCTGAGTATGGGTCGATTTGGTGGATTGGACGACAAGTACCGCCTTTGGACTCAGCTCGCAATTGTCGACCGATCGAGTTGGCTACGAAGATGGCTTGAGTTGTCTCTGTTAGGGATTTGTTTGATACATGTAGGGACACGTGTTAGTGTCTTAATGGAGATTAATACTTAGTGATTTTTGGGTCGTAACATATACATACATACATGCATACTCATCAGTTCATAAATTTCCCACCACCAAGACACACACATACATACACACACAAAAAGAAAATCAAAACCTTAGATCCATTACAATTCAGAGCTCTAGCCTATGGCCTAATTTGGATGGACTCAAAACTTTGATGTCACATGACAAACAACAGTACCATCCTCAAAGATCCCACATGTGAACTATTGATATTTACCAATCTCAACCCACAGTTTCATAAAAGCTTCCCTTTTCTTTTTCTTTGCATCTGGAGAAGGCTAGAGTTACCCTGGCCATCACTGTTTTGCATGAGATATGGTAGTGGGCCTAGTGGCAACCAGCAAGCGTGAGCATCTTCTTCATCATCCATCAACAGGAAAGTATCCACAATAGTAGCCTGCAGAATTAATGAAAGCAGCAAATTGCTGTCTTCCAGGTGCCAACCTTCCTCAAACAGCTACCAAATCAACCAAGATTCAATCCTCACTTGTCATACAAGACAAAAACTCATCTCCCTCAATAGAAAACTTAAAAAATGAAGCCTCTCTCAATTAAAAAACCTGAACAGAATTGGCCCATGAACTCTCACCGCTTCAGGTTCAGTTCTCAACTTCATCTTGTCTAGTATTACATGTATCTGTGAGTTCCAATTGCAAGATGAGGTTTTCCTATTGGTACTAACGTCACATGTGTTGGATATCATGTCCCCATGATATAATTTTGATGATAACAATTTATTCATATTGAGAATCACTATGTGTGTTATACATATGTACTAACATTTAAATACAGCTTTTAACATCAAATATGAACAACTGCAATATGAGTTCAAGGCATTATGAAGTAAAGAAGATGAAGAACAAGTACATCAATATAATTTTTACATCTTTCTTTACTTAGAATTTTTGTACAAGCCTTGATCACTCACACACACACACATAGAAATTAGAACACACTAACACAGGCTTAGTGTGTTAGTTAACAATAAAAATCCTCTATGTTAACCATTAGAGTATTTAGTTTATCATTAAGTCTAAAAATAGTTCATACATAACATTTTTACTCTTTAGTAGTCGACTAATAAGAATAATAGTCGACTACTGTAGTCTAAGTTCAAGATATAAAATTTCTGTAAAACTACAGAGTAGTCGACTACTTAGAATTATAGTCGACTACTCAGCTTTGTATTTTGATTTACAGAACTTCAATTTTACAGAGTAGTTGACTACAAGTAAATATAGTCGACTACTGAGCTTTGAAAATTATTTTACAGAATGTTTATTTTACAGTGTAGTCGACCACTAACAATTATAGTCGACTACCGATCCTTGATTTTTGTTTTCCAGACTTTCTGTATTACAGAGTAGTCGACTACAAAGAAGAATAGTCGACTACTAAGCTTCAGTTTTAGAATTCCAGACTTTCTGTATTACAGAGTAGTCGACTACTATGCATTATAGTCGACTACTAAGACAGTTTTTCTGAACGTTTGAAATTAAACTTGTGACAGTTTTTAGTCGTTTTTTAAACGTTTTGAAGTTTAAAATTGTCTTTTCAAGGGCTATATAAAGGTTATATGTTCAGAAAAATGACACATGATTCTATACCCATAAGCTTTAATCTTTGTGCATTTTTCAAGTGTCAAAAATTCTGATTTTGAAGAAAAAGAGAAGTTTCTGAAATTGTCTTTGATCCTCATTCAAATACTTATTATTCAGACAATTTACAGAAGTTAGAATCATTCCTAAGCCACTGCTACACAACACTACAAATCAAGACTTACAGGAATTGAGTTGTTGCTTCAAAAAAAAGTTCTCTCGATTTGTGAGAGGTGTTAATCTCTTGGTTTAGAGATTGGTGTGTAAATTGGCAAGGTTTATGTCAATTGGTCTTACAATTTGCAGGGACTTGCAAATTGGTCAGGTTTGCTTTTGATTTTGTAAGTTTATTCAAAATCATAGTGAAAACTCTCAAGTGGGATTTGCTTGGGGGCTGAATGTACACCGGGTTGGTGGAACCAGTATAAAACTTTGTGTTTGTGATTGTGATTTTCTGAGATTGTCATTCTTTCTTTACAATTTATAATCTACTTTGCATAAATTTTAAAAGAACAATATTCACCCCCCTCTAGTGTTCTAGTGTATCTATTTCAGATCCTATATTTGGTATCAGAGCAAGGTGAAAGATGACATTAACAAATACATCACAATTCAAAGAAGGTCACTCTATAAATCGTCCATCAAT